TTGAAGGACTCGATAAATAATAATAAAAAAAGAAGAAAGAAAGCTGATAACGCGATCCCGCCTTTTCGAATCGATGCCTTTTTCTTTTTTTTTCCTTTCTTTCGATTTTTCCCTCCTCTTCCAATAACAGATGAATAAATGAATAATGCGTCGGGCGACACGAGGTGCGGTGGAGAGGCTGAAGAAAGAGGAGAGAAAGGGGAGGGAGGAGAAACACACGCGCGGTTAACTCGGTCGTTATCGAGAGAACGATAATATCGCGGCGAGAGGAGGGGAGAGGGGAGGGAGGGATGTGCGTTTGTTTCGCATGGCCGATACACTTTGAAATACGCTCTCCTGAAACTGTATGTGAGATTCAAAGTGGCGAGTATACACTGCGAAATACTACGATTTTAAACGATGGAATCTCTAGATTCGCGGGTATAATCTAGATTCGAGGGGGGAGGGGAGGGGTTCACAATTATCGTGGTTATTCGTGCGCACGGTAAACTCGTATAAATTAAACTGGAAGAGCCTCCGGTGAGAGGCGGCGACCGTTTCGTTGAATCTACCGATAATAAGGTCCTCGTGTAACTGGCGGAAAAAAAAAAAAAAAAAAAAAAAGAAACGGTCGATCGATCGGGATCGAGCTGATGATATTTATTCTCCCGCCACGTATCTGCAAATTCTCGTTTCACTACGTAACGTACATCGCACGTCACAATGACAGCGGTTGATAAAAAGGAGAAAAGAGATAAGGAGGAAGATGGAGATAATGGTTTCGAAAATAAATGAATGGACGAGAGAGGTTGAAATTATTAGGTGGTGGAAGGAAGGGGAAAGGAGATTTCTAATCCGAGATTCGTGGTTGTATTTCAGGTTTTCTACCAAAGAATCGGCGACACACGCTATTGTGGCAGTTCACAACACCGACATCAATGGTCAAACGGTGAAGTGTAGCTGGGGGAAGGAGAGCGGGGATCCGAACAATGCTCAACAAACTGGACAGGTAAACGTTCGATCTTTTATCTCGAAGGAAGGGGGAGAAAGCGATGAAATTGGGGATTTTAAGATCGAATATCCTTTCGTTCGATTCGATTCGAGGAAATCGAGAACCTCGAAGATTTCGAAAATTTCGCGAGGAAAGGAAAGAAAAGAAAAGAAAAGGAAAGGAAAGGAAAGGATCCAGGCGCGGGGAGAGTCGCGAGTGGAACGGAGAGCGAAGAGAGTTGAAAAGAAGAGAAGGAAGGAATACGAATTTAGGAAGAATTCTCTATCTCTTTCAGAGAAATTCACGCTCCAACTATGTTTTAACTTGTCGGTATGTGGCCAAGGATGGTAGCAATTAGTAGCGAGTCTACTTTGAACTAGAACTAGAATTCGGTTTGAATCGGGAATTGAGATATCTTGGCAAACGCGTTATCGTATAAGACTGCTTCGATCGAAGCGTATCCGCTTCGTAAGCGTTCTAATTGAAAACTAGATTAGACGAAAGCACGATTTTACGAGAGAGCAGAAAGCGATTTCTACACCTCTCTCTCTCTCTCTCTCTCTCTCTTTCTCCTCGTCGCTCCGCACAACGCGCGTGTAGAAAGGAAAAGTAAGAAGAAAAAAAAACCAGTGCATTCTCGTTATCGAGAATAAATGGCGAAAGGCGACGGTTGCACGAGATATCGAGAGGAAAAGGAAATAGTTAGAGTATTCGATTGCCAGTTCGATCCGGGCTTTGCCCGGTCGATCGAGAGAGGCTGGGCGCGCTACGTGGGAGAGTAAAAACGGAAGGGGGAAGGGGGGACAGGGAATCGGGCAAGATTCCGGTCTATTCACGAGGCTTGCTCTAAAGTGTGTCTGTCGGGTCTCTTAGCAATTAGCGCCGGTAGGACGAGTAAGTACGTCCGATCTGGGAATGCTGGCCCAAGTACGCCCTCCCTTCCACTCTCCTCCGCCCAGTACTTCCGTCCATCCATCCACTGTTACCCGGCCCGTGACATCGCTCTAATTGATCCCTATTCCCATAACGCGCTTCTCCCACGAGTACCGGGATATCGCATTACTACGTACCTCGTTCCGTGCCCTTACTCGTCTCCACGCAGCCACGCTGCTTTCGTGTTCGATCCCCTTCTTAACCGCCGCGATTCGGTCCGAAATTCTGTCCAATTGCGATTTCGTCCGCTTGCTCCTTCGTTTGCAACGATCGACCGCAAACGAACGCCGATTTATAACCGTACGCTCCGTTTTTTCCTCGAGCGAGAATAGAAAAGAATAGAAAAGGAAAGAAATGAAATGTAATATTATCGATCGAGGAAAATTCCTCGCCGGGTAAAGTAGAGAGCAGCGAAAGCGTGGATAGGGCGAGAAGGTAGGAAGGATGATTTTTAAAGCGAGCCGATGTCATTTTTCTTTTTTCTTTTCTTTTCTTTTCTTTTTTTTTTCCAAGTCTCTATTGACACGGTTAAGCGCGAAACGGTGGCGATGCCTTTTACTCTTTTCTATTTCATTGATCTTGGTGTGCTCTTCCAGGCGTTATCGTCGGCGACGTACCCATACTACGCGGCGGCAGCAGCTGCCGCCGCGGCGGCGGCAGGCGTCGCGGGTGTCGGAGGCGTCGGTGGCGTCGGCGGTGCCGGCCAGCTAGGATACTGGTACCCGCCCCAATCTTATCCGACGACAGCGACGCAGATGCAAGCCGGTGGTTTCCTTCAAGGGATGCAGGGATACACTTATGGACAGTTCGCCGGGTATCAACAGGCGCAATACATGGGGTGAGAGCTCTCTGACTATTTTCTCCAACTAACTTCCACCGACGTGGAATATTTCGAATGGAAAACTCGTTTCCAGCGAGATAAATTCTTTATTTAAAAAAAACGTTAGAATAATATTTGCCGCTTCGAACGAAAGGGGAATTAGAGGAGAAAAAAGCAATGCAAGTTGAAGTTTAACCGCCCTCCCTGTATTTTGTTTCGTAAACCGAGACTGGTGGATTAAGTATCCTGTCTCCGTCGTTGATCTCGATCAATTAAGAGACCGATACCGGTGAGACGAGTGTACGAAGCTCAGTAGGTCAAGTCGGTTCTTGCAACGTTCTACGTTAAAACGATGTCTGAACTTAATAGTAGACCGCTAATGTTGATGACACAGTAGTCTGTAAATGACCGATGAAAATTGCGCATTGGTATACATCGTTGAGCGTCTCTCTCTCTTTCTCTTTCTCTCTCTCTCNNTCGTGTCAACGACGTAGAATCAAGGAGAAAAATAATGATGGGAAAAATTCGAG